TGAAGCGTTAGACGTCTGTTTCAAATCAGTTATATGTTCTTTCCCGCGCGTTTTTATTGCTCGTTTTGTTTGATGTTAAGGTTGCACTTGACAGATGGTAAAGTGTGACTAATTTTCTTTAGGGGCTTTTAGAACGTATAAATCGAAGTCTGCTTTAAAATGTAAGTAATATTTTCGATGAGTCTTCTGACGTATGTTAGAACAGCAGGTAGTACTCGCTCGAAGTTTGTTGTCATGCAGAACTTGCTTGACATTGTAAGTCCGTGTCCAGGTGTCACAGATTCCTTGTGCTCTCTAAAACCAGACTTACCCACGGTAGCTAACTGGGATGGATCGTGGTGAGAATCACCCTTTAGGTATCTGTCTGTATGATTTGCCTTCTATACACGGCGTGGCTAAGGGTGTTATTTGGATTACAGATCCTTGTATCTTGTATTAACTGATGTTTGTGCTTTCAGTCCCGAGACTATTAAAGCTTCATCTGACGAAGAACCGGTGGGCTAGCCAGAACCCACGGGTTTGGGCCCTCCGCTGTGGGTAGGGCCACGCATGTGCTCATGCGTGCGTTTAAGTATGGTGTGTCATCTAAGGGCCATCGAGGTCGCGGTTCGGACCGAAACCCCGATGGGCGTCGACTGTGGAATTAGCTAATCGGTGGCTGGGAGCGGTGAGAACCGTCCCGGAACGCGGGTGTAGGATTACAGATGACCAAAGGATATAGGAAAGCTAAAAAGTTACTGTTCTATTACATTGTTAACTGTATTTTGGGCTTTAGAGAATTAAGGTGATCTAAAAATGCATTAACTTTATTGTCACCTTCATACCTCTTATAAAATCTGAGATAAATGGTAACTGTGCGAAGGGCCTCCTCCTCAAACTCTTTCATATATATGTCAGCAACAATGGGAGATACTGCGGAGCCCATTGCTACTTTACTATTCGAAATAAAATTAAAAATGGCGCAAATATGAGTCTTTATGTTTAGATTATGTATTTGTGCCATTTGCTGTTGAAACATTAGGTCCGTGGGGTCCCCGCACATCAAAATTTTTTAAAAGTTTATGTCCTAGGCTTAACGCGGCGGCTGGTGACAAGAGAGCTGGTTCTTTTCTCGCTTAAAGGTTAAGCATAACTATTCAGCGAGGAAATGCAGCTAGCGTTCTTGGCACCATGCCGCGTGGATTAGGTTTATTAGATAATATGTAATTTTAGACAGATTTAACCTTGTAAATATTAGATCATTTGATGTTAAATAACAATAATAACAATTTTGAGTAAAAAAATTAAAAATAAACACGATAAATCCGTAAAATTAGTTTCATTTAATAAAGTATTATTGTTTTAACTTGGTAGATTTACGCCCCAACAGTTATTGTATATGTCAGCAATGGCCAAGCCAATTTTCTCCAAATAAGCTGTGGTGAAAAGCGGATATAAACAGGCTAGGATAACGCAGAGCCTGACTGCCATATTAGGGTATAATGACATGCGGCTGATCTATTATATAATCACTGCTTTAGCGATAATGTTTCTTCTCAATTTTCTATTCAATTTTAGAAGATCGCTGGCCCAATAAGTTATACAATGGCGAGTTATTCAATGGTACTATAAAAAAACCCGGCAATAAATTTAACACCGCGATTTATTCGTAACATAGCCAACCGCAACCGTTCGCGCTCCAATAAATGTGCCGAAACGTTTGTTAGGATAATCAATAAAATAAAATGGCCAAACAATATTTACAAAAAGTTTTTGCCTATGTCGTTATCTTGAACTGAAGAAGTCGCTGTAGAGATGGAGTAATGCAAATAATAAAGAAGAGAATCTTGAGTACGATGTGTTTTATGTCGTTCAATTGAAAGCAAGAATAAGTACGTCCTTATACATATGTATATATACATATGTATTTTCGGGAATAAATGGAATGTTATGTGTGAAAGATGTTTGTATGGATCATGATCGTAGTCATCTTTGGATGACGTACATGGTCCTTCACAAACATTTTATGTTTGTAACTAGGATGTATGCATTAAATTCATGCTCTGATTAAATTTCGCAAATATGCCAATTACACAAGGATATATTAATTACGCTCTTAAGTTATTATTTTCATTAAAAGATATCACACGTTCTTTTCATTATTTTTAAAATGTATAAAATAAAATACATTGGATATGGGTCATTCGACATAGTGATTAGAAAAGGAGAAACATCTCATATTAAATCGGTAATATTGAGATGGGATTTTACTAATGTTCTAGAAATATTAAACAGCCTTGCTATTCAGATCTGACCCCACTTGGAGCGAAGATTGGAGAGGGAAAAGCACGTGATGAGCTTGTGAAAGGCATATTGCGCATAACAGAGAAACCTATAATACGGACCATATAATAGCATGTGACTAGAACGGAAGAAAAAACTTTTACTCAATAAATCGCTGTATTACCCTAAGCCTATCAGTTCGAGTATCGATAATTGATTAATAAGAATGATTTTGAAAATATTTGAGGTAAATAACGTATGGCTTGATTGAATTGAGTTGAAAGCTTAATTGTACATTATTTTATTACACATGGAAGGCTTTACACCTTGTAGAGTTCGTAGAAACACAGGCAGACGGACAGAATCAGGGCTACTTTACTCAAATTGAGGTGTAGGTGTAATTATAAAAGTATAATACGCATTCCATTCACCAGTCGTAAAACTCATGTACAGAACATGTTTTGATGTTTTGATGAAATTAAATACATATAATTTTTTTGATTCATCATAAATCATGTAGATACTTTGAAGATTCTTGTTTGATAAGAAATTGTAAAAATAAATTATCCTTATCCGTGGCGAAATCAGTAGACAACAATAGTGTGATTTAACATTTAATGAAAAGTCTGTACACTCTCGTGTTGGTTGAATTACGGCCACGGGTTTCAAATTTGGCAACCATCCGAAAAAACCACTTCATTGTTTTATTTATAACGCTAACAGCAGTTCGGGATGTAACGTGCATAAAAACCTACAGAATTGCATCTGCTGTTGCGAAAAGTACGAGCGTTGCATTCTGTATTCTTTTATTTTTAGTAAGCCGCTGTTTTGGCCAGCGTCGACGCTTGCGCAACGTCGATCGGGTGACTGATTTACTCGCATAACTACCGATCGATTGTTATGTTGACATTTGCAAACAAAGTGATGACTTATTTCCCGTAGTTGTTAAGCTGTTGCCTTCGGTCGTTTTTTTCTCGCATGGGACACATATTACGTATCTACAGATAATTGTTACGTATTTTGGAATCAATAGTTAAAAATCTTAAGCATTTTATTTAATGACAGAATTTAAAAGCGAAAGTTATAACAAACAATATAATTATATATGCTCAAAGTGACATAGAGAACAATGGAAAGAGTTATGCGCGGGGTCGTTCTGGCGGATAGCATAATATGAATTAATTATTCGTTCGCAGAAGAACTAAAATATCTCACATAATTATTTTTAATTAGTTTAGGGCGATTTTAGTGCATATGCAACAACATGTGCGAATATATTGAGCTATATCCTTATCAAGAATTATCACGATAAGATTTTGATGACAAGATTTTGATGATAAAGGAAATAGTTAAATAAAAAACTCAGTATGTGTTTTAAAGAAGTTTTGATGAAGCTTATGTGGCTATTATTGATTTATATTATTTTAAGAAAATTATGATTAGTTTGTAAAGAGTATTGGGATAACAAAAGCTTATTTTTATTAATGCCTTGAAATTGAGCTTACATTATGTATGGGTATTGCGGTTCAAATAAAATTGTTGTAAAATACTTTGTTACTGTTTTGATTTGACTTATTGATTTCTGAAAATTAAAAACGAATATATTATCCTTAAGAATAATTAGGTGCGGTTGCTACTTTCAGATTTTTACTTATTAGATGAGATTATAGATTAAAACATGTAGAAAAAGTACGAAAAGATTGTCGCCGCTGTGTGAATCGAACCCACGTCTTCGGCATTCGCGGCCTGACGCTCTAGCCACTGAGCTAAACAGCTGATAGCCACAGCGACGAAAATCTTAACGCCTTCTTGTTACATTGTTATTTAGCATTTGAAGCAATGCTTGGCGCATCTATTGTTATATCCTTTCCAGCATACAAACAATTTCGAATATCGTTTTACAACGATAATTCGAACGAGAGATGTCGCCATTGCTTTTTATAAATTTTAAGTGCCGAGATTAGCACTGTTCGCTTTGCACACATTGTTCGTTTCTTTAAATTTATCATATAGAAATCCTTTCTTTGTTACTGAAAATGTTTGAAAATGTATTTATTATATTTATTTATCTATTAATTAAAATTCATTAGAAAGGACATATACGTAGTAATGGATTCTGTTAAGTCTTCGATTTAAATGCATAAACAAAAGCGCAAACTATTTTAATTTTCATAAATTTTTTTAAACATTTCCTTAATGTTATAATAACTGTGAAGTATTTTTTTACTATGGATTTTTTCCACTCAACAACAAATTTGAATTGATCCACTAGATACTTCGACTAGTAAGTTATACACTGTAAAGAGACTTTTTGTCTAAAAAAAACGCTGGTTGGTTGTTGGATGAGTCTGTGTTGTGATTCCAGGTCTTCCATCCAAATAATCTGATAATTCACAAATAAGGTACGAAGCAAGTGATGCCGCGAGCAATACTTAGACGGTAATAAAGACACCGCGTGGAGTAAACTGTAAAAGTCTAATCTGCCCCCCACGGTGGCTGGGGGCGCGTCACGTGATAACACTTTCTTGGCGCAGGCTTCGACGCTCACGGCGACTTGACCCGTCGCAGAACATGCGCCGGCGCACCACCGTCAGCACGCGTACATAGCTACCAATATTTCGGGACAAATGATGATCACACCATCAATCTTAACGAACTGAAGCCTTGTGCGTATTGTGTAACTTTTTTTTTGAGTGATTAAGTGGCCATCCAGTGGACTGTCAGCACTTGCCAGTTACATGATGATTGCAAGGTATTTATTAAATTATTTTATTTTACTATTACTTTTAATGTTTTATATTCTTCTCCGTAATTATAATTAACTTTGAATGAGGTAACTAAATAACACGATAAAGAACTTTAATAATAATTTTAATTTATTTTATACAGTAAAAAAATATCTGCGCGTTGACATAATCCTTTTACACGTTGAAGTCTTTTGTGAGAATGTTGAAATCCTGAGCTCTACGAATGTCTACAACTGGCATCGTAGCGGATATCGCTAGACAAATTTTGTTTAAAAGAATTGCTATTTTAAGACTTTTATATTTAATCAGTTTATTTTTATAAAAATGAAAAAAAAAAATTAAGAATATTGTTCTTGGTTGAAGTACGTTTTATCGCTTATTAAAAATGTTTTAGTCTACTCGATACAACGATGAATTCATAATAACATCAATGAAATTATTAATTTTAGTACTATAAAATAATGAACATATGCGTCGGTTTTTAGGCCTAGATGAGAGACATAACCGATGATATGTTTTGTGTTGGTCTTTATTTATTTAAATATAATACGTAACAAATATACGTATTATATTTAAATAATTAAAGACCACATTTTCGTTTTTATTCGGTCTACTGGTTTTTATATAAAAACACTTCATTTTTTTAAATAAAAATTATACTACTCTTATTCGATCATCGCAGAGTAGTAATTTTTCCAAACATTTTTCAGTTCAAGGAAATGTTTTAAACCTTCTTGCTTTAAAGTCTCTTTACGTATCACCATAGTTTTTATTCAAATGGTAATTTTAATTTTGTAGTTATTATAAATATAATAAAATTAAAATCTTTCATTTCCATCATTTGGAATATTTTAATAAAATTAAGTCAGGTATTAGATAGACGGTTTAATTGATATTAGAAGATATTTTTAACACAGCCCAGGTGTTAAAAGCCTAGACAAATTTTGCGATGATTATTTAGTAGATTGTTATTATTTTAATAAATTAAATTAAATTTGAAAATGTATGACTTGTTAATGTTTTATAACTTTTTATGTGCATACGTCGATTTGGACGAAAGCGAAGAATGAGGACGCCTAAAAATAACCACAGGAAGTGAAATTGGTCGATCGCGCATAATCAAGCACATCGCAACTTAATAAAAAACCGCCTATTTTGTTCGCGGAGGCGAACGTTGGAATTTGCTAGAAATTGAAAATTATTGCAATATCACTTAAAGAATTCCATCGGTATTGCTTTTTATAAAAGGCTTGGTTTTTAATAATATCACAAACAAAAAATAATGATAATACAAACAACAATAGAAACAATATTTTTATTATAGCATATAGTATCTTAAATGCTATCGCAAAAAAAACACAAGGTATCTTGTTTTTTAATACTTGTTGATATATGTTGTTTTTTTGCAGCCGGACTGTTCTATTAATTTTATTTATTTGCTTATATTGTTTTGAATGAAGTTAAATATTAACTTCTACATATATGCATGTTTTCTTTAACGACTAAAGTGAGTAGATGCAGTGAGAAACCCTTATTGTGTTTTTGAAAGCAAAATATTCTTCACTTCTTGACAAAATAAAATGTAACATTAAATACAATATATTTTATAACAAAGTTAAAATTAAAAAAACGCCTTGTAAATGTAAACCGTTGGCAACTAACCACTCCAGCAAATTTAAGTTACATTATACTTAAAGCATGTTTTCTTAATAGCTCGAAACTTAGATGCCGATTGCCAGTCTCTAATTTGAGATAAGTATTATGCGAGCAAGCGTACGAAACGAACCCAATCTAATTCGCAATTACTTAATACATGTCTGTTATTAACAGCTATATTGAAATGAAACTGAGCAATGTGAAATAATGCTATGTAACTGACAATCCTTTTTTAAGGGCTTGTTACAAAAGTACTTAAAGAACTTCGAACGTTAAGTTCTTGGCTTTAGCAATATTTTATCCAAGTGACTTGTATGTATATTATCCAATACTGGCCATATATGTATTTTAATGGGTTTTAAACTTTTATGAAACAGTTTTGTTTAAAAACAAGCGTTTACCCTACTTAAAACCTGGTCAAGCTCTCCACTTTGTAATATATATTTACGTGAAATTTCAGAAATAATTTCGATCAAAATCAAATAAGTGAAACTCGAATTTTTCTCTATTCCTCTTTTGATTGAAATTTACTTTGGTTTTGACCTAATTCTACCGAGTAAATAGCAAATAATGTATGAAAAAAATTCTTTTCAATGTTTAATTCGTCCGTGGCATAAAAAAATATTGTAATCGGAAGATATCAAAATAAAAAAATATTGTAACCGGAAGATATCAAAATCGTCAAATTAATTAATTTAAGTAAATTTACTTAGTATATTGTATTAAATATAAACAACAGTGCCAACAAATAACTTACTTAAGTTTCATATATTTTTTCTTAATATATGTATTCTCATTTTTTTCATTGAGTGAAATCATTAGCCGAATACGCTCCCCTCATTGTTTCAGTTTTGTATACATTCTACAGATCTAGAGCGTTACATAATAGTAGAGATGCACTAACAAAAATGTAGTTGCTGTCTCAATGTTCACGGTAATTAACATTTACGTAACCACCATCAGATAGACAAAATTTATTACTTTGTATTTGCACAACGTTGCGGTAAACATGTTCGATTGTTTTATGTAACACTCAATTTATCGCTTTCAAAAATATTTTTCACATAATTAAAGAGTTGATAAACAAGATTTTTGTTATAATAAATTCCAAACGAAATTTAACAGTAGAAGGTGGCGAGTTTGAAATTGAAAACAGCTGTGCAATTCCGAATTGTCTTTTGGTTATTCGTGTCAAACGCGCTTAATAAAATGCAAGTACGAACTCTCAATCTTTGAAGAAAAACTAGTTCACTAGAACCCAGGTGAACGATAGTAAAAAAGATCTTGAGGCATTTTAATGACTCGCGCCGGTCAATACTGTAGTGGGTTGGTTGGAAAACTACTAAATACAGTATATAATCAACAACTAGTTCTGGCTTGCACCACGCTCGATTTGTTAGATAACGCTCATGAGTTCCAAATTATCTTCAGTATTGAGAATTCTCTTATATGACGAATACACCGCCAGAAAAAGGATGACGGGCCTTAAAATCGTTCTCTAACACATTTCAAACAAAAAATGTAACGATATTCGAAAACTAACACTGAATACAGTAAAAAAGCATTGTTTGAATTTTATATTTTATATTATATTTAACAATATATGAAAATCTATAAAATCTATTTTAGCATAATACTCATCCCATTAAGCTGATTCTTCTAGTAAGGAGGCGAAGATAAATAATCTATATTACAGCAGAGATCTTTTCACTTTTTATGTGACAAGGTGGCTAATGAGTAGGTGGTTCACCTGATTTTAAGGGATAACTGCCGTCCATTGAAATATGCAACACCTGCAGGGATGCAGACGCGTCGCCCCGGGTTAAAGTGGGCCCCGGCTAACCCACTCACCAGACGAAACGCAGAAGTATAATACTTGCTCTTCACGCCGTGACTACAATAAAGAAGATACTAGAAACGAGATATTAATAAAATATTGAAAGAGTATATTTTTTTGAGCTTCTGGAGCTTTCAATTTATTTATTTTTTAAAAGTGATATACGTCAGCGCCATCATCTGACTAAATCGATATTGAGAGTGAAAGGGCAAAATATTAAACGATGGCATTTACTGAAGCAAGGTCACCGACCACTCGATAGCCTCCCGACTAACGGAAATTGATATAAAACGAAGGTGCCCAAAGTATTTATTACGCACATCCTGATATTAGTACTATTTGAGTGGTTTACGTACGAAAAATTTACTGTTCACGTTAGGTGTGTGATACGTGCGTCTCGCTTACCTTTAGCTCGCTATGTGTATAAAACAATATACTTTTATCTAAACGCTAAAGATATCAAGTAAATACATTAACATGCAACACAATATGTTTAAGTAGTTATCGTTTGTATAACGCCCATACATTAAAGGGCTACAAGAAGCTGACTTCTCTTTTTAATCGTAACCATAAATTTATAAAAACATCTTACTAATATTTATAAATAGGAAGGTGTTATTAATTACTTATGTTTATGACGATTATTTGACGGTGGATTATTTTAAATATGTACGCAGTGGCGACACGAAACAAAAAATAAAAAGAAATATTCATATATGGCGCAAAAGTGTTTTAACATAACACACCAATTAATTACATTTAAACAATTCTGGCCATTATGTAAAGCAACGTATAATTTATATTAATGAAGATAGATAAAATTTCACTTACTCTCACATTAAATGATTATGTAACTACATTATAAAAGTTTTCGGAAGCGAGTAAAGGAAATCAAGAGGTTTTTAAAGTCGGATTGACCGTTAGCCGTGAAAAATTATCGATTTGCTAGGAAGTACAGATCTACACAACGATACATTAAGTGATGTTGCGCGAACCTCGTTGGGCAGGAACTAGAAGAACCTTTCACTGACCATAGAAAAGTCACGTTACCTATTTAAATTTGTTGCGAAAAGGAGTAATATTTATAGTTACGGAACACATTAAAACGTAATGCAGTTCCAAACAAGTTCATGACTAAGTATTTATTTTCTTTAAAGTAATTACTATTTCCTGTATTCAATATTCAATGTAATAAATCTAACTGGTTGTGCTTAATTTTGAACTAAAATAAGTTATGCCCCAGTATTCAAATTCACAACTCGTGATAAAGCCATATTTATATTTTATGCTTTCGAATAAAAACATATGTGTTGTCATTTTCAGATGAAAGTCAGTTTCAGTTAAAAGACATTATTCAATGATACCCAGTTTCATTGTAGTATCAATTGATTTCTCTTAGATTTCTCTCTAATATATTTTGGCTCTAGTTGACATTGCCGTAAATACTTTGAATAACTTGACCAAATTAGAAAACATGAGAAAAAATTCAAAGTAACATTTAACTATGTATGAAAAATCATTGTTGTATATTATAATACATATTTTCTTTAAGACCATACCAACTATCTTAACTTTATTGAGATTTAAGTCAGTCAACGAACTAATTACGAGCTAAATGGTTTTATAGTATAATACAAATTCTTATTCAGTTAAGAAAACTAAGATTACGAAGAAATTCAGTTAGATTGACCTACATTCGGTGACTGTACCGAGTTTGCTGTATCAAATGACGCGGTTTCGTACTATTAATATACAATATTATTCATTACTTATTGGTTAACTATACAACTTTTAATTTGTAATTTACTGGCGTAGAGTTTTGATATGTTACGAAATTTAGTGATATGTTTGATTGTTTAATATATGAGGAAGTACCACGACCTCACAGAAGACCAGTGAGTGAGGAAGCTGGCACCCACTTTTTTAAAGGTTGTCAACTCATCTACAACCCTACGGGTGTCAACAAATGTCAATTGGCGGTGGTTTTCACTTAACATCAGAAGAACCGCTTGCTCACTTGTCTACTTTTTTTAAAGAATAAAGAATAAAGGATCTGCTACGGTCTGATGGATTTGCTTGACGATCACCGAAAACATATTTGTATAAGAAATATCAAACAATAAGAAAAATGTTGATTATATTTTTGAACTCGTGACTTTGCCTTTCTGTGGTTTTAAAAAATAATTAAATTCTATGGTCATTTTTCAAGATTTTTGAAACACATTTTTTAACGAAAGAAATTTACTGTATTTAATGATATTACATTGCTATCCTTATCCTATTTCTAAGTTTACAATTCTTTTGGGAGATTACTTCAACTCAGTGTTCCGATTTGGAAATTTGTCAATGAATTTTTTTGGAAATTTCGCAGGGCGCTGTTTTTAGCGCTATGGGGCGCGTGTGCCGCCGCGCTAGCTCCGCTCGCCATTCCAGCCGACGACGACTGTGCGCTATACCTCAATGGGCCCGGACGGTCGTCGGCCTACGACTACAGCCTCAATCTACTGAAAGGAAACTTGTAAGAATGATTCATTAATAGAATTGATAAATATCTATGCTTGAATCAAAACCCGTTACAAATACCATGGACCTGGCAAACTCTACAGATCGTTCAGCTAAGTTCGGCTTACTACTGAGTGCATCCAAATCCATTCATTTATAATTTTAATTTTTGGTATGTACTGAAAATCGGGAAATCGTACCGAGTACATACCTATTTGGTTTCATGTCTTAGATATATATTCTTTTAATTGTTTACATAACTGTGTTTGTTGTTGAAAGTAAATAAATATATATTCATTAATTCATTCTACCCCGATAATTATTATACCCTGATAATGATGTGAACAGATAAAAAGGTGTAAATCATTGGACATAAACCTGTATAAAGTAACTTTTCTGGTTAAAAAATCGGCATCAAATTACATTTAAACGGTATCACGTAATTAAATTCCGTTATTAAACTATATTTATTTATATCAAATTAGAACGAAGTTTATTTGCTTTCGGTGTTCACTGGTTTGGTTAATTGTAGTTAGTTAATATTCCTATGTAACGAGAACGGCATTGAATATACAACATAAAACCACATGCTAAACGATATCTATAAAGTTGACAGTTCGAAAATTAAGGTAATCAACATTCTAAATTTAAAAACGACCTGTAGTTAACAAGACATATCGGAAGTCTAAATTACTGTGGTATAGCTTACGCTCCATTAAATGACAGAATACTCAACTTTTTAAGCCTCAACGTTCTTAAACTACACTTTACAGTACCAAACCTAAAACTTAACGAAGCTAACTTTATGAAGCTTCACAATTAAAAGTTGCGCGAAATGACAACTACATACAGTTTTCTTTTTAAACGAGCACGTCAAGCCAATGTCACAAAGAAAGTCAGCCTTTGTAGTGATACGTCATAAAACCGACGCTTACATCACTCCGAGGTAAACTTGACACACTCGCTCAGACTCCATTACTCGGTAAACGACGACAGTGTATTTTAACAAGCCGTTTTGCTCTTGTTCAACGCTCATTTAGCTGTAAGATATGGCGCAATATCTGATGCTACAACATTACCGCAGCACTTGTTTCGAACTGTACATCTTGTACGTGAAGCATCGTTTTGCGGGTTTCGTGCAAAACGATGTAAGCAATGCTGTCACTTTCGTGAGACCGTACATGTGTAGAACGAACCCTTCACTTTTCGTAATACCATCTTCATTTGAGACATGTCCAAATCTTCGACGATCACTGCGAAATGATAATAATAAAGTTTTAAATGATAATCTTTGTGATTTCTGAGCAAATCGTTAAAAATAAAAACCGGCCAAGTGCGAGTCGGACTCGCGCACGAAGGGTTCCATACAATTATCCATAAAAATGGCAAACAATCATGTTTGTTGTAAGGGAGCCTCACTTAAATTTTTTTATCGTGTTTTTTAGTATTTGATGTTATAGCGGCAACAGAAATATATCACGTGTGAAAATTTCAACTGTCTAACCATCACGGTATGCGATACTGCCTGGTGACAGACGGACAGACAGACAGCGCTGTCTTAGTAAAAGGCTCCCGTTTTATCCTTTGGGCACGGAACCCTGATAAATCAATAAATGATTAAACGAGAAATATTCCAATTTTTCTTTAAAATGCAGGAGAAGATATCGCGTCAAAATATAGGTACATACACGTACATAAGTTCACTATTTTACTGATTAATACTAACGGCACAATACTTATTAACTAAATTAAAAAAAACATTAATATGTAAAAAGCATCACTTCACGCAAATAATTTTAACTAAACCAAATCTTTGTTTAGAATTTTATTAATCGAAGCAAGTAAAATATATTAAGTAAGAAAACCGACTTCAAATATTCTACTCACTACACATTTTGTATTTGATTTTGAAATGTCCAATAGAAATTAAATTAAAATGGAACCACATGGAACTAAACCGATAACTTTTACAATCGGTACAAATATGTCTCTGTTCTGAGGTAAGGCAAGGTAAATAAATAAACTGACCCTACTCCTTTTTAAAGGCGATTGAAAAAGTAAACTTATATTATAAGTGTATCTTGTGTTTTAATTAGTATTTGATTAAAAATATTTTTCAATGACTATAGCAAATCACTTAATGTTACGATGAAATGTTTTTAACACTTTAAATGAAATTTTGACATCGTATACGTATTACATTTGTTATGAAGCGGTACGAAAAAACGAGAAGATAAGTAACTGTTTAATAGACCATTACCAACGGTTTGCTGTATCGCGTGGCATGTTACGTTTCACCGTTCACGAACTGACCCGGAGTCAGTGTTACGTAACCGCAGTAACATCCAGCCATCGACAATGCTTTCATCTCGCACGCATTACATTAGGCAACGACCTGAGCTGATCCACCGCACTCACTTTCGAAACAATTTCGCTTAACACGATTACTGTTGTTGGCGACGATACAGGCAAAATACGATTTTTTTTTTCAAAACTACTTTTCTAGTAATTTAAAAATATTCTTTCGATAGCCAACTTGAATAATTAAACTCGTTTCAGTGCAGTGAAACGTCGTTATTTACTGTAAGAGCTTTGAACAATCAAATTCTTATCATTGCAGGTGTAGCTAGCGGTATAAACAATAATGATATGCGACGTATTATAAATCGTATCAATTATTTTCACTGATTTCATTATTTTCGTGTCGATGGAGACGTGACACTTTTTTAAAAACCTGTCCATCACAAAATGTGGTTGCTAACTGCGAGTTTCTATATGCCGATCCGATATCATAAACATTTAATGACCTTCAAACACTGCAGTGATTTTATTAGCACTAGAAGCCCTTTACGGTCGTCAACAGTTCAAATATGTGGTCATAACTGTCAGCGCTTCATACGTGACCATACGTACGACCAAGATATTTAGTACATCCAGGTGCTTACCTAACGGCTTCGCGCTCTCCGATATCGTTTGTTCACTGCACACGGTCGGTCTGGAGCCTGTACTTAGCTGTGATCTCAGGTACAATAGGAACAGCAGAATTATTCGAAGTTACCGTTAGCCTCTCCGCTTAACGGGCCCGTCCACTTTTGTTGACATATCGTAGAAATTCACACAACAAATCGACTCGAGATATGAGACTCGTCCACTTTCTATCGCATCGGTCACGCCCTGCTCGTATTATACTCGCTAGATGAATTCCGGTTTGGTTTTTTTCCTGATAATATTTTACGTAAGTTTATGTTTAAATCGAGAGTTTATTTTTGTACCACTTTTCAAATTGTTGCTTCTTCATTTATTAGAAAAAACACGAACTTAAGAGAGAAAAACAAAATTACATTCGCACAAATTATTTTCGTTATATACCGCAAGCGTATTAATTAAAAAAGTTATTTATTTGACAAATGATATTGAGGAATCTTAGTTTCGTTACGACAATTCGTTGATAAACCGAGGATAATCATCCGACTCGAAAAAAATATTAATTTTAATCGTATCTTGTTTCGTAATGGTTGGTATCCGTAGGTAATATTGTATTCCGAAAATAATGCTAATCAATGCAATTAAAATATAGAAGTCGCTGACCCCGATACAGCCAAGATAGATGCCAGATAGGTTTGTTCAATACCATTAAAATATTAACCCAGTACCACCATTTCACGTGGAAATACGTAGGCTCCCCCGCTATGAAAATGTCAAATAAGCAGATAGATTAATAGTGTTAGTTAAATTGAATGCTTATCCATAATATATCCTTTTAATTTATTTTACATCGATACTTATATTTATTACAGGTTGTAGCATTAATTTCTTCTTCCCTTAACTAGAATCTATGAAACATATATGTGAATAAATTCGAACTTATATAAGAAATAAATCTTTATTTGTTTCGGCATATACATCTTAATATCCAGACGTATTATTGTACAAAAGCTTTTGACGTTTCACAACACTAATTTTATGTAAAAATATTCCAGTCACAGCTCTACCGGAACAACAGTGCGTAAAAATTCAAATCGTCTTTATTAAAATACGACGTTAAAACGTAAACAACTATTGGTACCAAAGTTCAATGGCCGAGATATTATGACATTTTTTAACTTTTTTGTTTATGCAGGGCATAACAAGCAGATACTATTTGCGAATTATGCTTTTAAAGCATGTACAGTAATATAAGGTAAACTTTTTTTACTATGGCATAAATAATTATATAAATCTTTTATTTTAGTCTGATCATAATAAGTTCGTAAAATAAAGGCTTATCAAACGGACAGATTTGCTATTACAGATATAATTACGTTTTATGTCATCACAGAAATCAATATAGGCATATTAATTTATTGATTCAAGGGTAGAATAAGACCAATTGTAAATGCCTCCGGAAATTCTGTCGTGGAACTGAAATTGTTGCAACATCAATCAATCAGTCAATACTTTTATTACAATGTCTAGTACTAGGTTATAGTTGTATAAACGTACCTACCTTTCACGCATTTCTACACCACTCTCTACAATTTTGTTTTTTTTACTTCAACAGCTTTTTGCAAATAAATTTGTATGCTGTAATATTTATTTAAATAACTTTGATCGCGTATCACTTTTTAGTTTTGTATTGAAATATTATCCATACTACACACCTATTTTATTTTATTACAGTGTCTATGACGGTCAGCACACCTGCATCACCTATGACGCTATCAACAAAGCGTACCTTGACGCAAGAAATAGAATCCGTAAGTTACATCGAATTCATTTCATCATCTAAATTTAATTTAAATTATATGAGAAATACCCAAATTACGTTCTGCATACATTTTAAAATCAGTATATCGTAGATTTTCTTTTATTCTGACTTACGTCTTTACCGAAGTAACAACATAATGCCTACGCAAAATTTCAAGCATTTGATTTTAACGATAACGTGAGAAAATTAAACCACCCGTCCCCACGTTATAATAATAGTAAAGAGAAAGAGCTCAAAATAACGCGTATGTGCGAAAAAGTAACTGATGAATTAGCACGTTCCGTTTGCTCAGTGAAAGAGGTTAACAGGGAAATGAACCGCGCTCTATTGAGCTCCAACTCGATCTGTGCTCGTGTTTTTGTTATTTGACAAGTCATGCCCAACTGCATTTTCATCTGATACCGATTGATTTGTGACGTTATTCGTCTCAATTGACGTCCTCGCAAGCAGGCGGAAGAGTAGAATTATATTTCCAATCTGTGGACATTTTAATTTTCTCATGATTTTAAGATTGTGTTTATGCCGCGTGATTTTTTTACATCATTTAAAATTATTGGATTCGAATTAAACGCGAGAAAACATGCAAAATTCAGAGCACATTTCATACTTGAAAATGGAGTTTTGGAAATAAAAGCATTTTAAATATGATCGCTTATTTTATTTTATGCTTATTCTCTAATCATATCGTATTAAAATAACTTTTATTATATTAACACAGTCGTAGCGCAGCCAAAGGGAGACTGGAAACCTGAGGATTTCGCAAGCGTCGGTGAATTGGTACTGGATATTTCGATCCAATTGGCCAGAACGTGAGTATTAAAAATCATTCTTCATATTTAATATTTCTTATTCACTTGCGTTCTATTTTCTTCTAAAACAAAAATGTTTACCTTATAGAAACAATGCATTTTAATACCACATGAGGAGCTTATCAAAAGGTACTAAACATCTACGTAATATTGTTAATTTTTTCAATCTTAATCAACAGTTATAAACATTGTATTTAAAACGTCAAAGTTAAGCCATAAGGTTTTGTTCATTATTCATGACACCCTACGGGCTTTTAAAGTTTTAAACAAACGTCATTGGACTGACCTTCAAATCATGCGTTCCTTATCCTGGTTTAGATTAATGACACTAATACAATACTCATATAGCAAGGTCGCTGTCTATTATGACCACAGCAAGTCGTTGAAGAATCCGCCCTTTTGTTTTCTTTGACTGATTTGACCGAGGCCATGGAAGGCTCACGATGCGGAATGATTTTGATGCTTTAAAATTTCAAAAGATCGTTTTAATATATATTAATTTGTTATCGGACTTTCTTAATTAAAAAAAGCAGTAGACGTAAAAATATTTTTATAGAGTGTATTTTTTTCACATATTGATTTCTTGTTTTTACGAGAATATTATACATATTAAATGACCTCACACCGTAATTGACGGTAGCCCGGGTTGAGTTAGACATTAAGCGGTGGAACAACTAAGTCGATCCCGTGATCATAAACGTGGGAAAGGGTCTGGAATTAACAAGCAAGAATTAAACGTGATAAACTCTGTAAAATAGTTTCATTTAATATAGAGTTTCTCGTAAATAAATTTGTTACAATAATAATATCAATGTACACAGTTTATTTAAAGAACATTACTTAATTATATCAACAATTCGAACTCACCTTGTCACGTACGAGTATGTACAAATATCTGCGTAACAGGGATCGAAGAGCCCAAATAATACTTCATTTTATTTATGTTAAGTGTCTCTACCAAATGAGCGTAAAAAAATCGGGTCACGCCTTAATGCCACCGTGTAATGACCTTTAAAGTTTGAGAGACAGGATTTCGAAATGTCATCCCCGTTGAGTCAGCAATAAAATGGGAACCGTTCTTATAACCTACAATAGGAGTACGGAAGTAAATAAATTTAATAAAAACCTAACTAGCTCGTATTACACCAATAATATTAGATATACTTCTATAAATGGTTATCTACGTAATAATAATAAACATGTACAATTATTTATGTATATGGTAATTCAATTTATTTTTAAAATAAAATTAATATACATTTGACCATAGATTTAGATCTATAAAAATACAAATATTTCAAACATTCAAACTTAAAAAAGTAAGTAAAGTTAATGGAGATCCAAGGACAGGAAGCCAAGTGTTAAATAAACGTATAGAAGTATGTTCCGTTCGTTAAGTAATCTTTCTACCAATAAACTCATCACTGCGTATCATCTAGGCAATACGAAATCATTGATTATCTGAGCTGCGGTTTATATCTATGCATTTATGGGTTAATTGTTCGTAGTTTTTTTTTAAAGATTACTTATTAATTAGACACTATTTTATCTATCAATTAAATATAGAGAAGCTTTTTGCACATTTTTCATGTAATACCACAATCAATTGCATTTGCTTGTGATGGTAAAAGTTATGGAATTTCACACAACATAAGTACAAACTATATTCTTGCACCAATAAACGTAAAGATCAACCACTGCTTAACAACAGCTTCGAGCAACGAACGACCTTTCTTACTTTAACTCTCATTACATGCAACACGAAACATTTTTCACCGATTTCTTGTAGTCGGTCATTGTTACACGCAAAAAAATCGTACGCGAAACGAATTAACATGCGCGCTTCCATTGAAATGCAAAACATGCTGAACTTGAACAAGACTCTCGTAAAATTTCCGAATTTGTTTCAACAGAGAATACACATATTGTAAGTTATAACAATATGATAATACATCTCCATATTCATAGAATTTCTAAAATCAGACAAAAGGTCTAAGATTTAAAGGACCCAAGATTTTGGAGTGATTTTGTCCTTATTGTTTAAGATATATCTTATATAAGTATGATCAGTTACATTTTTATTTATATAAAATCATAGCATTTATATTGATTTTTAGTATTGGGTTATACAATAACAAAATATAAATCAAATCATATTTAAAATTTTGCCACTCATCCATCAGCCTTGTTCTACATTTTGCACTTGTTAAAGACACCAGTTAGGAAATAAATTGACGTCAAAATGTTACCATTGAAAAGATTAATGAATTTTACAAATTGCGAACACCAATGAAAGCTGTTCATTGGAAACAGATTCAAAATCCTAGTACAGTTTTACTTGAAATTTATTAAAAAACGATTACGACACGAAATTATCAATTGTCAAATACATGCACAATTTCAAATTACCGAACATCTCGTTATGTGGATGTCTCAATCAAAAGTAACACTTGCGCAAACGTATCTTGTTAAAAGATTGTTGCATTCATGGATTACACAATTTATAACATAACTAACTGATGCATCGAAAACTAACATTGTTTTTTTTTTTTTTTATATAATACAACGACTCCTTTTGGTTACTTTAAAGCAGCTTTGAATCCCAGGTTTAGATTAATTTTCCAAATTGGGCTCCGGCCACCTCACTCACCAGACGAAACGCGAAAGTATTAGGTATACTTCCACTTTACGCCGGCTTTCTGTAAGGTCGTGATACTTACCCGGACGAGCCTGCCCATTCGTGCAACAGTTCAGGCTGCTGCGTGGCCCTACCACCGTGTCGATCTTATGTTTCTAAATTTCTGTAATAAATTCCATTGGCGCTACCTACTCGGACCCTCGGCGTAGAGCTTTAATAATTTATCAAAGTAAATGTGTTGGTTGATCGAGTGGTATGAAAATCGCAATCTCCGTTGCTAGATACGGCTTGACGTACGAGGAGATTGAGAAGGGGCTGCCACTCATCGACACCTCGCGTACGCTCATCCGTGAGGTGTGTCCACCAGTGTTCTCCCACGTGGAATGCCGTGCCGGCAAGTACCGCCGCTTGGACGGGCTCTGCAACAACCTGCAACACCCCACGTGGGGGGCTACCATGGCGCCATTCCAAAGGTAACAGATTATCTATATTGCCTGCCTGCGTCAAGTACTAATACTTCCTTTCTAATTATTTTTCCTATATTATTCTAAAGTGTGACTTGTTTTTTTTTACTTAATTCGAGACTAAAAGTAACACTTTAAATTCACTTTACATTATAATTAAGGAATACATAAAAATCCCAGTCAAATTAACATACAAAATAAAAAAATGTATAAAGTGAAAGCCTGTTACTAATTTATAAAAAGTCAAGGTTGAACAATATGAAGCATTATTAATTCAGTAATAAATTCATTAATGTTGTAATTTGGAAATTCATTGAGATTATAATAACATATATAAATAATGATTGGCCGCAGTTTCTTTTTAAAACGGATAATACTAGAGTTATTTATATTGCTTGGCAACTTATTAAAAATTATTGAAGCCACACCAAAGACCTTATTTCGTATACGTGCAGAGAGATGTTTGAGTGTTTTCTCTATACAAGTTTGTATGAAAAATAATTATACTATACGGTTTTCTTAATTCTCTTTGTTTCTTACCTGCCTATTTGGCTGTCCAGAACAAATTTTTAATTACATTTTGGTTTAATAATTAATATAAGCTAGAAATTTGTCACTTCAAGCATGGCTTAGATCTAATAGCAGAAACATGGTATTGAGAGGAACATGAAAAAAGGAATTTATCTCAACGTAATAAACGCATAGTTTATAGTAACGAAATTTGATGTTTCTCCATGATTTTAGTTCTTCAAAAAGATACAAAGAGTTTTTGTAATAAGAGAGAATTTTTAGATTGATCGGACCGTTATTCTCTGATGGTATCAACGCACCGCGTATCTCACATACCGGCCGCGACCTGCCGCTATCTCGGGTGGTGTCGAGGACTATGCACCCCGATGACGGATTCCACGACCACGCGGGAACCGTGATGGTCATCGCTTGGGGGCAGTTCATGGACCACGATTACACCCTCACTGGGACGCCACTCGGTGAGTTGAAATGAAAATTAATAAGGGAAACCTTCGATTGCCATGAAATAAGACTCGGCCACTTGATAAAAATGAGGATCACTATCACATCAGTTGAAGCAGCTGCCGCTAAGAATGTGCTTACGATAACAGATCCTGTTACAAAAATATATAATTATGTAATCTTGTATGAAAAAAAACTACTGTAAGACAGACCAGAGTCAGTCGCATTCCTTTCTCAAGCACCATCAAGTTAGTTTTAGTCATATTGACTTCACGCTTACGTAATATGATTCGGAACTTTAAATTAATTGCACGAGTATTTTTTCTTTAACTAAAAACTGTTTCTATTAGTCTGGGTTTATAAAAATGTCACAAAAATACCGCCAGCCGATAACTTTTTTACGTTCCGAAAAATTCAAGTTATTTATTTACCTTATAAAATTACCTTCCTAACCAACCTTCAACCTTATACCCGACAAAATATGCTCATAATTGTCCAAATGGTCCAAAAATGTAATAAATATATACAAGCTAAACTCTGTACAGAGGAGAAACTAAATAATTCTTGTACTATAGACCCTGTTCACCGTAACGACCCAGAAGAGTGCTGCAAACGCCCACCACACCTTAAACATCCTTACTGTAACGAAATCAGAATACCAGAAGATGACTACTTCTATCGCTTGTTCGGCGTCAAATGCATGGACTTCGTGCGTGGGTTCCCTTCACCCAGACCAGGATGTCGTCTCGGTAAGTACAATATCTTACAAGGTAATTGATATACCTAACATAGACTCTCTAAGAACGAGAGCACACCCGTGAGAAACAATTTAACTGCGGCTTACTAGCTTCTTCTTACTTCCTTAAGACTTTCTTTCTTTAGACAAGGTTTTCTGAACACAATAACATACGTGATGCATTCAATTTTTAATTTTTTTTCTTATAGTTTTTATGTTTAAAACGTTTCTTTAGTATATTATCAAAACATAGTACAAAACAAAGTCATCCAGTTATCTGTCTATCCCTATATATGCTTAGATCAGTGATTCTCAACCTTTTTTGAGTTGCGGCACATATTAAACGATTTCAAAATTTGGCGGCACACAAAGAAAATTATTTACTTACTACAAGACACTGCATAAATAGTTTATGATAAAAATTTTAAATATACGAAATCAACTAATATATATTACAATAATAACTAAACGTTTATTAAGGGATTAATTACAATCTAATAATAAAAATATTTTTAATGCGAAATTTGAGCTTGATGTTTTTTGATAATTTCATTTATATTTGGTCGTAAAAATGACAATGCTACTCTCATATCGTCTTCTACATTTAACAATCTTGATCTTTTTTTAGTTTTAATGTTAGCTAATGCCAAACAATAGTTTTCTTTTTAAATGATATAATTTAATAATATTAACATTATTATATATTTGCAAAATTTGGCGGCACACTTGAAATTTGGCGGCACACAAAAGTGCCGCGGCACAGTGGTTGAGAATCACTGGCTTAGATCTTTAAAACTACAACGGATTTTGATACGGTTTTCTTTAATAGGTAGTGATTCAAACGGAAGGTTTAAATGTGTAATTCATGCATAACATAGTAGAGAAACACTGATACTTTTAGACGTTTCTAATGCGACTTCGAAAACAAACATTCAGCATTGCACCCGTGCGAAGCCGGGGCGGGTCACTAGTTAGATATAAATCTTTGTATCCGTGTTATGTATACAAATTAAAATATAAACTAAGTAAAATGACAAAAGATAACAGTATATTTATTTCAGTTATTTTTTTATAGCGATGTTGCCACCAAGTACCAAGTTTACCATTACGCTGTCAGACATGCAATCAAGGATCGTGCGATGATTTATACGTTACAATTGCAACATGAAATACATTATAACATGTCGTGCAAGGTCACAGTAACAGTAAAGTACAATTCAATTGTTCTGTGCGGGGTGATTATCAGATCATTCACACAATACGTTTGACAGGCACCTCGTCAAACGTGCCCGATATTGAGTCCGATGCCTTGCCTCGACCACAATCGGTCCCTTGCGGTCGACTTGCGAAATTCGATACACGACTAACGAATAAATCTTCAAATAAGCGAACTCACTTTCGATATTTGTATACGTTTGCTACTATTACCACATAATTCGCCTTGCTAATTACATACTGACCCTTAACACTTGTGGGTGTTTAGAGAGAGGTGACTGTCGTTTTCGATCACTCGTATTATCCAATCGAGCGTGGCGAGACATTATAGCGTGTGACCGGTCCCAGCTTTAGCATCGTCTGCCACAGTGAGAGGCGAAAGTTAATCCGTTACGTGTAGGAGCCGGTGCTCCCAGGTTGCGCAATTTAGTGCAGAATATTGTTGAGACTCGCGAGGGCGCCCGATTCAGACATTCGTATACAGCTAGTTTTGGCGCCTCTCTCTTTATGATCGCTCCGCCATATTTGTTACCATACTGTACGGTTAAAAGGAAACTATTCATGATCTATTTTATTCTTAGCGCTAGCCTCCGCACTCGACATGAAACTTAAAATGTGAACTGTTCAAAATATTTTCGACAATTTGTCTACAAAAAATTTTCTTAAATTTTTCTACCAAGAAAATATATACTTTTATAGTTAAAATGTGTATATAGAAGGCAGTGTGAATGAAAGAAACTATAAAATAAAAAAAAATTGTAATACGTACATACCGAGTTAAATTGTTTGCAATTTATCAAATATCATATCTAATTTTCTCACACTCTCAATGTCTGCGAATTTGTTGGAAAGACTCTCTTAGATAATTAATCCAATTTTTCGCTGCTCGATATTTGCGAGGAATGTCAACAACAAATGAATGGAAGCTTGCTAAGCGTTTGCACGTGTAGAAAGTCAATAACATTCTTAGAATGGCTTTTTGAATTTTTTGAAAGGCGAGTTCTCATTTTTAATAAGACCATTTGGTTAACAAAGACTCCCATGAAATTGTTATTTTGAATAATATGTCAAATGCTTGATATTAACGACTGAAGCTTTGATTTAATAACTACGTCATAGGTCGTCATAGGCAATGGCTACCAACATGGCCACAATTGTGTAAAAAACGTTAATTATTTGCTAAGAAGATCATTAACTTAACATAAACCGTTGCAAAATGTTGCAATTATAACACCAATGTTACTAACAATTAAATATCAAATACATACCTACTTACATATATGAGTAGATATAAGATTAATAATTTTATTTAGAATAATAATTCAATTAAGAACGCAAAAATGCAAGGTTTTGTTAAAGACCGACTAACTGAATTTTTGAAGTACGATGATACTACATAGTACCAATAACAACTTTTTGACTTTTACCAATAATTATCTATTGTAATGTATAATAAGTAGTGATATTACATATAACACACTTTTTTTTTACAAACCAAAAGATTTATTTTCTACAAGAAAAATCAAAAAATAATATCTAAAAAAGTAGACTAACATTTATTTTCCGATATATTTCTCTTATAATCGGCTATCCTTTGTCAAACATTAGATAGGTTATATGCAATTTTGTCATAATAAGTATATTGGAATCGTCATAATCTATAACCTACAATTAGAGGGTTATCATATTGAATCCGACATTAAGTTCATTTTCAAAAAGTCTAATTTTAAAAATTCATCGGGATACATGCATATTTAAGCTAAAAATACGTTAGCACTCATTATCAGCCGTGTCTTAACAAACATGCCGCGGAAATATCATTTAGGTCATCGAAAAGAAGTACCAGCCTCACGCCAGACGGTCATTGATTCTTATAGTCTAGATCTAGAGAGATGGGTGCGCCCTTATTATTTCGTGAGTTCGATACTTTGAGTTCGATATTTTAGTAGAAAAATATATCACTGCTTACCTTATATTTACAATAGTGTTTTATAAGTGTATAATAATCAATAAAAATCTAATAATAACAATTATTTAAATGTTTATTTTTATTTATAAACCCAACCAGACGAGAAAACAAATAAATATCCCACAATTATTAATGCATAATGTGTATCAAATTACAAAGCTGTTAAACATATTTGAATCAAACGTTTCATTACATATCTATAACGATAAAAAAATGCTTATTGACTAAATTCTGTTTAAAGTAAATTTTACTATAACACATTATTCTTAATATAATGCAATCAAATATTGTATCAAATTAATTGACAATGTTTTTGTCATGCGAAATATTACGAAAGCTTTAAGTTTTATTATACATAGTTTTTATTGAATAGTAAACTTTTCTATAGCCAATAGCTTACTTATCCTACATCGCATAAATGTTTATAGAAACGCATAAATATAGTTAAAACAAACTTAACACAAATTTTAAGATATTTTTTTTGCTTTATTATTTAGGTTCGAGAATTCCGTTCAACACGTTGACTGGCGTTATAGACGGAAACACCGTATACGGAGTCACCGACAAGTTCTCCAGGTACAAACTAGGGTTCTGAATATAGCCATAACCATTTCTTGTACTTTGTAAATAACTTAACTATTTAACTCGAAGCGCTTTACTCACGCGCTCCTTTCGTGTGATTTCCAAAATAATTGAAGCAACCATACTACTTTCTTTTCGGGCGAATGTTGTTTACAAGCCAAAATTTCCATACCCGTTAATAAGAATTAACCGATATGACACAGTTTAATTGTCCAATATACGTTTTACAGAAAGCTACGTACAGGTTATGGAGGATTGTTACGCATGAATCCCGTTTTTAAGGAATATGGTCTCAAGGACTTGCTACCATTGAAACTGGATATTCCCGACGAAGGTTGCACACGTCCGAACAAAAACATGTACTGCTTCGAAGCTGGTATGTCCCATTTAATATACGTACATCTACATATACATTTCAATTCTTTTTCAATAAATTTCATCGAAATAACGCGTGATTTAAATATATAAATCTTGTTGTGTTTATGTGAATGCTGGTATTGTAAGTTAATTAAGTAGTCAAAAGCTAAAATTCATAAACATTTTCATTAGTCCATATTTTCTAATGGGAAAACCATTAGAAAATATGGACAACATATAAAGCGGAAAGACGAATTTATTACATACAATGTTGCCAACTGTCGATATTTCTTAACACTTTTGTATTCAAGTCATTAAAAGAGCGGACATCTGTATTATATATTTATTACACAATCCACTTAATAAATGTTACAGTATTCTTTTAAATGGCACAAAAACGAGCAAGGTTGATCGTAAAGTCATTAATTGAGATATAAGGACGTTCACTTTCCATTGAACCAACTTAAGATCTTACGTTTCAGGCGAGATCCGTGTCAACGAGCAGTTGGTACTAACGGTTATGCACACGCTTATGGCGCGCGAGCACAACCGCGTCGCGGAAGCTTTGGCCGGTGTCAACCCGCATTGGGACGACGAAACCCTGTTCCAAGAAGCCAGGAGGATCAACATCGCCGAAATACAGCACATCACCTTCAACGAATTCCTGCCGATATTACTAGGAAAAGACGTCATGGAGAAGTTCGGCTTGGTGCTGGAGAAGCAGGTGATAAGCTTTGTTCGATCGATGGCCGTGATATTTAGGCTTCATATTGAGCTGTCTATGTTGTTAATGGATCAAAATGGTAAATGAGGAGATAATGACTGAATATTCTTTTGGCAGGGCTATTGGAATGGATACGATCCGGAAGTGAACCCGGATGTGCTCGCTTCATTCGCAGCTGCCGCTTATCGATTCGGACACTCGCTACTACCGACAGCGGTTGAAAGATGGTCCAAAGCTCATAAGTTTATCGGTAGGTGCAGGACGATTCGAATTATTATACAACAATACAGTTCCTTCCATGTCATGTCCTTGAACCTGTTGAAAACAGGTTAATATTTATCTTCCAAATTTTATGGTTGCAGCCTCAAAACGGCTCTCCGACCTCATTCGAAGGCCGTACGACTTGTACAGGGCTGGAGTTCTCGACGAATACATAATGGGCTTGATGAATCAAGTGGCACAGGCCATGGACGATTCGATCACGCAAGAAGTTACGAACCATCTGTTTAAGAAAGTGGGCGCCCGATTCGGAATGGACTTGGTGTCCTTGAACATGCAAAGAGGTCGTGAATTCGGGCTGCCCGGTTACATGGAGTTCAGAAAATTCTGTGGGCTTTCCGGCGCCGAGACTTTCGAGGAGCTGTTTGGCTCCATGCCTAACGAGACCGTACGAAAGTATGAGACAATATTTGAGCATCCAATTGACGTCGATCTGTGGTCAGGTGGCGTGTCTGAACGCCCCCTACCAGGTTCAATGCTTGGACCAACATTCGCTTGCATAATCGCTACACAGTTCTCTTACTCGAGGCGTGGTGATAGATTCTGGTAAGTTACTTTAGCTCCAATAATTACTTATTCATCAATGGTTTATACTTAGATAAATATAGTGTCACTTTATTTTAATAAAAATCTTTTCTAAGTCATGTAAGTTTTAACCGGTATATAAATATATATATATGTTTTAGGTTCGAACTACCTCACCAACCCTCGTCATTTACGCCGGAACAGCTTTCTGAAATAAGAAAATCCCGACTCGCACGAATTATCTGCGACAACACTGATATCATTGACACCGTCCAACTTTACCCCATGGTTTTACCCGATCATGAACTGTAAGTATGGCTCGATTCATGTTTAATAAATTTTGAGTTAGAAGTTGATGTCAAGACAATGAATATGCCTAACTCGGAATGACTGAGCTACAAGTTTACTTCCATAAACTCTGTTCTTCCCTTAATTCTTCTTAAATATTTAATCCATATAAAACGCTATGCATTTGTAGACTTTCAGACATCACTGAAACGACGTAAGCAAAAAAAATTATAGTTTTGAGAAAAGCAACACCGTACCCTACGTAATCAAAATTATATATAATATAAATTCTTGTTATTCTAAATAAAATTTAGAAAAACAAGAATTTTACAAATATTTTAAACATCAAAATAACAAAATTAGTACATTGGTAATACACTCTATTTTTCCATGAAATTTTTAATCCCAAAATAACATAGATTATCGACGTATAGTTATTGACGAATCTCCGATACATAAAAAGATGGCGGTTTTCGTAGGTAAAAGTAAAACTAAAACAACATATTATACCGCCAACTTCAGACTGCTGTAGTCGACATCTGCGCTAACTCTAATTTCTTGAGATCTTATAAAAAAATGTGCAATTATTATTACAGAAATCCCCGTGTCCCATGCAGAAGTGGTATTATACCGCAAATGGACTTTAGCAAATGGGCAGATCCTGTCCCATTTCACGGCGGTGCGAAACAATTTGTGAGTAGTTTCACATATAACCCATTTTTGGGCAAGAAGTAGTTGCATCAGCACCAAGTATTTATTTAAAGAACTTTGTAGTCGTAACACTCGTAGATTTATGTATTAGATTAAATAGAGTAAATCCATAATATATTTTTGTATTTTACCGATGCCTGGATATTTCTCTGTTTAATCACAATATCCACCACAGGCCTCGAATTTATTTAAAAAAATCGAACAAACAACAAAACTTATTTAATTAGCTTAAAAAACTATCATTCGTAATTGAACATCATTCCATTACAATTCTCTGGAGTTTAAATAATTAGTGTACTCGTTATGATGAACAATTCAAATTATAATTTGGTATTCTACAACTAGTTTATATATATATATAAATAAATTTTTAATTATTTTCGATGCCTGAGGTTTAAATTTAAAACATTTGTTTTTAATTGAATGAGTGCGCACTGCGCATTATTAGTATAAGACTTAAGCTATATATTATGTACATAAAGAGTAGTAGTAGTAAGAGTACATTATCATGTAGTAACCGTAGATTTTATTAGTAATATGTTATTAGTATATATTATATTAATATTCTATTAGTAGACACATTTGTACAAATTGTATTTAAAAAAGGTTTTCAGAAACCAAAAAGAAATGTTTGTTTGCCATATTTGCATACATGAACAATAATGTATTTAATTTTTTTTACTGGACATACTAAAACACCTTTGTATTCATAGCTATCAGATCAATAAACTATGACATACTGATTGTAGTAAATAAGTTAAATTGTTTTTTATTCGATATTTACAAGAGGAATTTGTTAGTATTTATTGTTTCGAACAACAACCTCAAGTACAGAGATTTTAAAATTGTTAAGTTAAACATATGACATAAGTGCATGAGTGTCATTCTTGCCTTATTTTTATTATTAGTCATGTGTAAGTAAATTCACATAGCTCTTTAGTTTTAAAATTGCTGTTTTATGTAACCATTACAATATACTATGTAGAGTAGTTGCACTCAAACTTTTAATTAGGCATGTTAATGTATTTGTTGATTTTTATTTAATTTATAGTAAATGTTGCGTATTGTATTATACACTCTAACAATTCATGTATTATTTTTGTAAATACTTTATAAATGCCAGAAATAAATAATAGTTTCAAAACACTCTTTTATTGAAAATTTCACCACACTAATAGAACAATTTGCACTTGATAATATGGCTTGAAAAAATTTATATACAATTAAAGTAATTCAATAAAATTTATTCACAGATTACCAATGCTTTTGTAACATTGAAAATAAATGAAAATAATAATGTTTTTAAGCAGATTAAGCATTACAATATAACAAAAGATAAAAATGAAGCTGTTATCAATGACAAAAATATAGAAGATAATAACAATACTAGCAATACATACCCTAGTCTAAGTATTAAGCATCACACTGTTGCAAAAAATAATTCGGATAACGTAACCGAAACAAATACGAATGAACCTTTAAATTATACCACCGCGAGCGAAGACCCATGTGTCCAGAAAAATGAAAAAAGTACCAAGTTTCTTGAGAAAATGAAAGCACCACAAAAATCTAAAGGTCATTTTAGAAATCAATTGAAAAGGCGAAAAAGATCATTTAATACATCTGGCCTTACAGACTCTGTTACTAGCGAAAAATCTATCGAAACACTACCCGTTATTTTTGATTACGTAACTTCTCATCAAGGAAAGGAACGAGAAGAATTACTTTTACCCCTTACGCAAACACAAGACATTGTTCAAAATTCTAATTTGGCAGATTTTAATATAGAGACAATACACAGCAAAAACGTTCAACCTTTAAATCAAGTACAGACCACCACAAAATTAAATGATTTTGAAAAAATACAACCATTAATTAATACTGTTCAAAACATTAACAAAATAGATTATCAGACACGAGAAAACGAACAATCTGACCTAAATTCTCAACCATATAACCTGAAAAAAATTGAATTAATGAACTCTCAAGAAAGCGTAGAAAACCGGGATACGATATACAAAAGTAAAGAAAACTTTAAAAAAGAACAAGATACACAAGATAATTCAGGAAGTAATGAACAATACGAGAGTTTAGAGCTATCAAATTCTTCTGGACAAGGTGGACAAAGTATAGAAGAAGAAAGTCGAGAGAAAATAGAATCCCAATACCCTAGCGTTGAACGTAAAAATGACGAAAGAATTAATGACACATCCATAGCAATTAGCGAAGAAATAAATGTAGAAGATCCGCAGGAGTCAAATGAGTCACAAAGCCATGATTCCAATAAATATAAGAGTCTAGAGCCAACAAATGCAAACAAGATGTATTTAATAAAAGGGCAAAAATTTATTAATAATGATGATGAAGTAGAAGTACCAAAATACTCAGTTGAAGGCAACACATCTAATGAAGGTGAAAAATCCGCAGTGAATTCTCAAAGTGAGGAAAGTACATTGACCAATATTAATGAAAGCAATGATGAAAATTCAAGTTCCCAAGAAGATACAGTACAAAGACAAAACGAAAAACAAACACACATTAATGATGACGAAGTCAAACCTGTAATTGAACTTAATAATGAAAGTGGTGAGTCAAGCGAAGAAATTCCCGATATTAATTCTAATACAAAAAATAATGACAGATTTGAAGCAATACCTAATGGTGATGAAAGCGTCAGTAAAGAGAAAGAAAAACTTTCCGCCCGTAATGATAACTTAGAAAAAATTGATGTTAAACAACAGTTTGAAAGAATCCCGTTAGATTATAATCATGCCCAAAAGGAATTTAAAACAAAGACAAATAATAAAAGCGCAAGCAAAGCTAAAATTCCACATGCTGAAATAGACATTGTACACGAGGATAAAAATAAAGAAGGAACATTGGATATATTATCACCGATAGATGACAAATATGATGAAAATTTAAAAATTAAATTTCACGATTTAACCATAACACTTCCTGAAATTAAATTGCCTGAAGATATTTTAGATTTTGATTACGGAAAAGCTGGATATGATGATGGTCATAGTGATAAAGAGGATAAAAAGCATAAAGGATATTCAATCTTTAATTATGATGATGAAAATTTCGATGAAGAGAAAAGTGAGGAAAATGTACCTAAAGAAGATAGTTTATATAATTATTATAGTAAGAAAAATGAAAAAGAGGATAAAAGTGGAAAAGTAATTGATAATGATCAAGATAATGAAGACTTATATGACAAATTTGTCCGAGAAAGATTTGGAAAAACTACTTTTAAAAAACGGTCCGAAAATATACAAGAAGCTGAACACGTACATGGAAATCCAAAACTTCATAATAAAATAAAAAGTATTCTAAAAAAGACTGCAAACATCCACAAACAAGCTGAAAGAAGTGGGGATCCTAATGCTAATTACATGTGGACTCTGGAATATGGAGAAAAACTTTAATTAATATATTTTTAAATGATTTTTTGCTATTTGGTTTGATTAAATTATTAATTTATAAATAGAATTATTATTTAAAACCTTAAGAATAGCACATACCTATTATCGCTAAATTAAAAAACTAAGTAAAACATTATTTTTTTATTTAACCAATATTATTTGCCTGCCTTTTAATTGAAATGAAATTGATAAATTGTTTCAAATCAAAATTTCTGTGTGAGTTTTTATATAAAAAACCAAAACTATGATATTTTACACTTCTTCCTAGAATATGTATTTGATGCAGTAAGTATACCTATAGTGTGCGCGATCTCATGACCATATGTCGTTCAATTTTCGAAAAATTTGTTGACCAATAACAATCAATCGGTTTCACTTAGACATGTGTATTTAAAAACCGCGAATGGTAGCGGAACATCATCCATAAAAGAAATGACCTAAACATGAACCTAATATCAGCGTTTAACCTAAATTCAAACACATTAAATACCTACCTTATTATAAGTTCTCTATATTCAAAGGGGCTTTGTTATCTCCTACCTTCCGCTTTCACTAAGTCATCTTTTTCTTTCCCTTCTCACTATACAAGATAATCTTTCTGTTTTTTGGCACATCCGTTTGTCCACTGGGTGAGGCTACCAGTGGTATGATTAGCGTCAGTAGTGTTTTATGGAACACAGTTGAGATATCTACAGCAGAAAGATATAAATTTAAGCTTCTGATAAAGTAGGTTTCAGGTAAAATACTGCTGTTAAATACTTGTAAAAAGAAAAATTTAAGGAGTGGTTTTGAGATAACTTTTTTTATTGAAAAGAAGGGGCAAACGGGCAGGAGGCTCACCTGATGGAAAGTGATCACCAATAGAATAACACAAATAAAATA